CACAAAATAATCCTTATGCCAAAGTGGCATAATTTTTGGTGAAATATTCTACTACCCTTGAATTTAGTATCACTTTTCAAAATGGGTTTTCTGGACATAGTCTTCTATCACTAAAGATCTTCACTGGAGTGAGTGCAATTTATATTTTAACTTCCACAAATATCTAAAAATTAATATATTCTATATCTGAGTACTGGAAGAATATGCAGTTTCTTTAGATCGTTTCTTGCTTTGTTTCCAAGTAACATTTTATTCATATTCGGTTAACTTAAATATTATTTATTCAGAGTAAAGGTAAAGTAATGGAGTTGGAAAATTTGTAAATGATGCAAAACCAAGTGAAACCCAAATGAAAATAAGGCTTATTGATTAAATAAAAGTTTCATAGACTTTTCAATATAGAATAACTGCAAGATAATTGAATCTTTACTTTGTGTTAAACTCAAAAATTTTTCATGTAATGTCAGAGAACAATTTAAAGTATCATTTTAGTGTCAAAAAAACTTGAATTGTCACATTAATTAATATTAATTTGAATTTTATTGGCTCTGTAAGTTTGTTTGTATTAATTCTGTAAAATTGTTTTTGTTTCAGTAATAGCAGCTATAACCTAATAATTTTATTTTTAAGTTTATATTTGCACATTTTAATGAGCCCTTAAACATTTTTAAAGTTTTAAGTAAATACTGAAAGGAAATTTTTTCTCTTTTAAAAACTGACTGAACATTATTCAACCTTTAGAACTCTGTTCTAGGATGAATTGATTACTGTTAACATTCCACGCAGCTCATATATTAGTGGCTCAGACCATTTAGAGCCTGTGCAGCTGAAGCAGTTTTCTGACTGTGTGTGACCCTCTGGTGACTGGGACTGTCCAGGCCCAAGACACCCTGGCTTCCTGAGAGTGCCTGTCCTATATCCTTTTTCTCCACCCACTGTGTCTGTTACTGACCTTTTCATAGAAGGAAATGAGGATGGGAAAACCATAACCAGCATTTTTTTTTTTTTTTAGCATGAAACTATAGGAAGAAATTTGGAAGTAGAAAAGCCTGCTGTTATGTGTAGTATGTATATATCCCCTACCCCCAAAAAAAGCTAGGGAGGGGGATGGAGTATAATTGGTAGGGTGTTACTTAAGAAACTCAGTAAATAAACTGCCAGAACTTGAATTACACATTTGGGAGGGTGTGGTGATTAGATAAGAGATAGATTCAATGTTGATATAGGTATACCGATATATAGATAGAGATATCCCAAGAAGTAGCTCATTTTCATGCACCGAAATTATTTAGAATTAACTTGTATTTATTTATTCGGAAAATATTAATTGATGATAATTAAGTGCTACAAATTCTAGTAATTTCTGGTGGTGCAGAAGTGAACAAAAAACAAAAGATTTCTGAGTTCATGGAGACAATTTCTGGTTTAATTGGTCACGTACCAGTCTGATGAGGGAAACGTGACAGGATTTGTAAAGGCACCTCAGTTTTGATGCTAAGTACATACTTTCCTTCTGACCTTTTTTTTCTTTAGCATGATTTCCAGAAATTGTGGCCGGATATCTACTGATATTTTAGTATCCAGGTGGCATTTCTTCATTTATTAATTTTTTGTCTAAAATTGAATGTTAGTAGTTACTTAGTCTATTTCAAATTAAAATATGAATAATGGTATATATGCAAAATTTGCTTAAAATTTTATTATAGAATAAGGAATAGTAAGTAAATTGGATTTAAATTATAATTATTTAAGTGAACTGACCTGGAATGGTTTTTCCTGTGTTAGTTTCTAATTACCACATCAGTCACTTATAAGCTTCAACATTGCATAGTAACTTACTATATAAGCTACTGTTACATTACATGTAATAAAGCAGATTATTAAAATCTCATTAAAATGATGAAATTGTCACAAATTTTTAAATGGCTTTGAAATAAAATGCCTAAAAATCACATGAAAACTGTAGCCAAAAGTATTAATTAAAGAGGAAACCTGCCAATGCTGAGGTTCAGTAGATAAAAATGATCTTTTAAAAACAGATTTTGATACAAATGTTGACATACTATATATTCCATTAATATAACATGTACTCATAAGCAAATCAATAAAATGATAGTGACAGCAAATTAAATGTAATTCTGTATTCGGAGATTAAAATAATAATAATTAACAAACAAATAAAAACCAAACTTTCAAAAATGATTTTTAGCTAATGCTTCTTTCTTTGGTTGGAAGTAAAGTGCACATGCAAACATTCAATTAGCAACAGTGTTAGGAAGTTGTGTACCTGTTCAAGAACAGTGGGACTTGTTTTCCCATTTCTATAGAGTGTAAAATTCATCTTTCTCTGTGTGGAGAAAAACTGTCGCTCAAACCGATGGACATGGGAAGAGGTATGAAGGGACTGAGCACTTACATCAGATATGAAGTCAAGATCTGAACTCCCAGTAGTGCTACTTCAAATGTCCACCTGTCCTAACTTGTCAAACTTTCCATATGTGTCTAGGGTGAGAGATTTCCCAAGTGAATAGAGCTATACCACCAGTGACAATCCATAGTAGGAAATAAGGAAAAATATGACAAAGTCTGTGATAAGTAACAGAAACTCTTAGTTCCTAATTTTATGTCTTACTCTCAAATATATGCATAGCTAGGGGATGACATTTAACCACTGGAGGACAAATCCGCCTTATTTGAATAATTCAGTGATAGGCCTTTGTACAGGCCTATACATTCGAAAGTTCTATAATATGTCACTATTTACACATTAACTTTTTGAGGCATAACAGAGTTTTTGTTTGTGTTCAAAACCATATTATGCAACATTTTGCAGAGCATAACATTCTTCTACCTACCACTTGCTTCTCAAATGCCGAGTATATTGAATAAACCATAGTTAAGAAAAATGACTGTAAAAATGCTGTATCTCTTGAGGTGAATGACATTTGCACATTTCACATACTGCATAACTTGTACTTGTTTAATTATTATACTTTTTTTCTTGACATGGATGCAGAGTTCTATACTGGGCATGTTTCTAGAAACCAAAGGTTTGGAACAGAATTGACAAATGTCATGCATGCCCTTGATTAATTTATTAATTTTTTGCAGTTATTTCTTTTCTTTTCTTTTTTTTTTTTTTTTTTTTTGATGGAGTCTCACTCTGTCACCCAGGCTGGATTGCCCAGTGGCACCATCTCTGCTCACTTCATCATCCACCTTCCAGGTTCAAGCGATTCTCCTGCCTCAGCCTCCCTAGTAGCTGGGATTATGGCGCCCACCACCACTTCCTCCTAACTTTTTTTATTTTCAGTAGAGACATGGTTTCACCATGTTGGCCAGACAAGTCTTGAACTTCTGACCTCAGGCAGAGGTCAGCCTCTCAAAGTGCTGGGGTTACCAGCGTGAGCCACTGCACCCGGCCTTCTGCAGTTATTTCTAATAGACTTCTCACTACCTTAGAATGAAGTATGTAAGACTGCTATTAGGCTAATTCATAGTCTTTTAAAAAATGTTATTTAAGACTGAAGCTAATTTTAAGCTTGATTCCATCATAGGATAAAGGATAGATAAATGGCAAAATTTATATGAGTAAATAAACCACTATAATGTTTCCATCCCTTTACAGACTATTAGGAGAAAATATTGAGACCCGAATAGTCTCATTAGGCATTAAGTATTCAGGTAAGCTAATATTTCTGTGTTGAGTTAGTAAAGTAGTAGGTAGAGAGAATAGAAGGTTTCTATACCAGAAAGTTGCTAACAAGTGGTGTTTGAACATCAAGGGAAGAAGGTACATGGAACCCCTCAGCTTATGTGAGCCCACCGATTTGGGTAGCTGACTATCCAAGGTTGTGAGCAGTAGAAATGCTATAAAATGTGGGCCGTCAACTTTCAGTGGGCCAGAATGATTACCAGGGCTCACTGTGGACTTTTCTCTTTGATCAGCTCACTCATTCCAGTGTGTCTGTTGTTTCTGTTGATTGCTGTCATATGAGATTGCTCAGTTCTCTATATCGTGTTCTTAGATTTATTCTTTTTTTTTATTGTACTTTAGGTTCTGGGGTACATGTACTGATCATGCAGGATTGTTGCATAGGTACATACTTGGCAAGGTTGTTTGCTTCCTTCGTCTCCCCATGACCTATAACTGGCATTTCTCCCTATGTTATCCCTCCCAGCCTCCCAACCCCTACTATTCCTCCCTTAGCCCTTCCCCCACCCACACGGACCCTCCCTGAGTTCGTGTGTTCTCATTGTACAACACCCATCTGTGAGTGAGAAGATGTGGTGTTTGGTTTTCTATTCTTGTGTCAGTTTGCTGAGAATGATGGTTTCCAGATTCATCCATGTCCCTACAAAGGACATAAACTCATCGTTTTTTTATGGCTGCATAATAGTCCATAGTGTATTTGTGCCACATTTTCTTTGTCCAGTCTATCATTGATGGTCATTTGGGTTGGTTCCATGTCTTTATGATAGAGTGATTTATATTTCTTTAGGTATATACCCAGTAATGAGATTGCTGTGTCAAATGGAATTTCTATTTCTAGATCCTTGAGATATTGCTGCACTGTCTTTCACAGTGGTTGAACTAATTTACACTCCCACCAACAATGTATAAGCATTTATTTTTCTCCACATCCTCTTGCACATCCGTTTTCTCCTGATTTTTTTAATGATTGCTATTCTAACTGGTGTGAGAAGATATCTCAATGTGGTTTTGATTTGCATTTCTCTAATGACCATGTGATGATTAGCATTTTTTTCATATGTTTCTTGGCCTCATATATGTCTTCTTTTGAAAAGTGTCTGTTCATATCCTTTGCCCATCTTTGAATGGATTTGTTTTTTCTTGTAAATCTGCTCTGGTTCTTTGTAGACTCTGGATGTTAACCCTTTGTCAGATGGGTAGATTGCAAAGATTTTTTCCCATTCAGTTGGATGCCGATTCACTTTAATGATTTTTTCTTTTGCTGTGCAGAAACTCTTAAGGTCTAAAAAATATAGAACACTTCATGAATTTGTGTGTCATCCTTGCACAGAGGCCCTGCTAATCTTCTCTGTATCATTCTGATTTTAGTATATATGCTGCCAAAGTGAGCATTCCTAACTCTATTCTTATCCATACCTAGCAACATTCTTTTCCCAATTTAAAGCTTACTTCCTTGTGGGCAAATGCTTATTTAAAGTACATACCTGTACCAGTCTCCTCACTGTATTATTAGAAAGGAAACACTGTTCAACAAAAAAAAAGATATTTTGTGTATCATAGGTTCTCTAGCTCTAATCCTTGAACTAACACGAGATGCCAGAGAGTCCATTTTAAGTTGCAGGGGTTTCACAGAAAAGGTTTATTAATGATGGAATTTTTACAAACAGCATCACTACAGCAATTCTGCCATGGCATTCAATAGTCTGAGAAAATTACTCTCATATTCTACCATATATATATATATATATATATATATATATATATATATATTCTGGCAATTTATTTAATTTTTTTTATTATTGGATATTTAGACTACTTTATGTGGAATGACATTTTGATAAATTTTTATTTACACAAATATTTAACTACATTTGTAATTATTTTCTTAATATAGAGTTTGAATACATGTATTGGAGCATTTTCAAAGCTTTTAAAAACTATTCAAACATACCTTCCATAATTATTGTGATAATTATTATTTTTATTATTTTTATTTCTTTCTTACTTTTTTTTTTTTTTTGAGACAGAGTCTCACTTTGTTGCCTAGGCTGGAGTGCAGCGGAACAGTCCTGGCTCACTGCAACCTCTGCCTCCTAAGTTCAAACTATTTTCCTTCCTATGCCTCCTGAGTACCGGAGACTACAGGCATGCACCACCATGCTCAGCAAATGTTTGTATTTTTAGTAGAGATGGGGTTTCACCATATTGGCCAGGCTGGCCTTGAACTTCTGACCTCAGGTGATCCTCCTGCTCGGCCTTCCAAAGGGCTGGTATTGCAGGCATGAGCCACTGCGTCTGGCCTGTGATAATTATTATTACACAAATAATAAATGATTCAAGGACATACTCTCTTAATTTTACTTTTTTCTATTTCTGGTTTCCTATACACAAATACTTGTCATATTCAGCATAAGTAACATGAAACTATTGGCACAAAAATAGGCTTACAGTCACAATTTTTATACAATTTTCACTTAACATATGGCTTATTATGCTATTTAAGGTGACAGAAATTGATAAGTCTTTTTCCCTAAGTATCTGAATTCTTTCCATTTGTTTTATAGATGACTGGGATGATTCATGCTTATAAGCATTTAGAAGCAATTGGGGCCTAAGTTTGAATATCAAGCCTTGATTCTTTTTCAAGGCTGTATGTTCATCACTAGCATGCCTGTGTTGGAGGTTATGTGATATATTAAGGTAATAAAATAATTGAAATAAGTGAGGTGTTATTGTCATAAATAATAATTTCTTTAAAGTGATAGATATACTTGAAAACTAATTTCAGAATAATTAAATTAGTTTCTTTCCAATAATTTATTTTTTCAGAGTCTTGTAGGAGATAATAATTCAGCTCATGAGAAAATGGCTTATTTAATAGTTTTATTGCTATATGCAATTCACCAAAATCTTCATTATACCATGTTATTTCTAAAGATATTTTCAGCTGTAAGACCAGAAAAAGAATAGGAAAAAAGAATGTCTTAACCCCTTCATATTAATATTTGCTTCAATTACAGTATTTTTATTAATTCAAAAATTATTTGAAAATTGGAGGAGTGTTGATGTACAAGTAGAAAATTTAATAATTATTTTGGAGAGTTACATTTCAAACATGAAATATATAGCAGGTTTTTGAATTGCATGTTCTAATTTGCTAACTTAACAGTTTAGAAATAATATTTGGAAGTATAATTGGACTTTGGACCCGAATACAGAATTGTTATTATGCAACTGTAAGGACAAGAATTTTGACTAGAGAGAAATAATAAACCAAAAGAAATCCTAAATAAAAACCCACAAGCCCCTTGTGACAAAAATACATATTTTCAATGATAAGTAAAATATACATAAGACCTAAGAATCAAATTAATTTGAATTATAAGTTATTGTGGGTGCCACAGTAAAAACGAAAAAAAAAAAAAAAAGATGGAAAAGATGAATAGAAATGATGATACTGTTTAGGAAGCAAACCTCTTTCCTTTAAATCTTTTGAACTTAATCACTGTTCAATCTTATTTAAGTTGGTGCTTAATAAGAAAATGTTGAAGAAGTGATAGAAAGACAATTTCATTCATGTTCTGAAGCAGTTTCACGTGCCGGTTTCAAACCAATACTAGAATTGTCATCTTTTAAATTTCGTGATACTCCATTAAATCTACTTTATCCCTTATTGATTTAGACTTTTTAAGGAATGCAAATTTTTGATCTGTTTTTTTTTTTACTTGTAAACAAGCCATTTTGTATATTTTATTAGTAAGTGGGCCATATTGTACGTTTTAACTAATAAACATTCCTTTTAAAGGTAATTTAAGAAATTCTTCCCTATTCACATTGCTTCCTATTACTTCCATAAATATTCCTACTTCTTTCTGTTTTATTTCTTATCATTTTCTCACACAAAGTAATAGTTTGAAAATAACTTTTCTATTTTCTGAATTCGTTTAAGGAGTGCATCAGGGAGGGAAAAAGAAAGAGGAAAGGTAGAAAGAGAAGGGAGGAGAAGGAAGAAGAGAGAGCTCCAGGGTAAGGGAGGGAATGAAATCGATGATTGCTATGATCTTTCATGTTTCTTCTGGTCATATGATACTCATTTTATTTTGTTACTTATAAGAGACTATTTCTCTAAGTCACTTAGTCAGTAATGGTTTGAAAAAGTGGATATAAATTATTTAAGATATTATTTCTATTAATACGACATTTTTGATTTTCAAGACAAATACTTTCCCAAAATAATGTATTCGTTAAAAATATGATAGTAGTTTCACATTTGTTGGTTTATCCTTTAATGTAAAATAAAACACAATATTGGGGGATGAAGATTATATATTTAAACAAAAGATGGGATGCTTTTTGTTTAAAAAAGATGAGATAATTTGTTGTTAATTATTAATAAAAATGTTTAGTATTATGTTGTACATTTGTTCATAATTGATATTTAAAATCAAATTATGCTCTAAATACACAATTACTTGATATTTTATAACAAATTGTGAGTAAATCTAATTTTTTATATCACAGGACAGAGGTTTTGATGATTTGAAATAGTTAATTCAAATGCAACAATATTTTGAGAAAGACAATTGTGTTAGGTGTCCAAAAAGATTTGCATATCTAATTCTCATACTTACCGTTCGATTCTCCTTCAACAATTATTATTAGAATCAAATTTTATTGGGTGTAGTTTACTTCCTCAATGAGCTGTCTACCTCTAACAAAAATTAAAATTTGTTTGAAAACTATAGTTATTATCTGAGGTAATAAAGATACATTTTCTCGAGAGCGGATAAAATGCTATGGAGTCGAGTCATGGTCACAAATTTTACCCAAAGCAATAGAGAGGAACTTTGAATTAAGTTAAACATGGTTTTGAGTGAAAATGAAAACACGTTTTCAATGTCTGTTACTCATGAATACAAGTATATCTCCATTTTTTCTGAAACAATACTTTGAGTGTGAAATCTAGCCAATAATTTATTGCCTTTAAAAAAATAATAAAAGAATAGGATTAGTTTATCAGCAGGCAGAATTTTAAACAGGAGGATCAGAATAAAGGATGAATTTAAATTTGAAAATATAGGATAATGTCAATTATCCTATTAAAAGAGAAGATCAATTATAAAAGTCTTTTTCAAACTCCCCACAATAGAGGGATCCACTGATATATATATTTTGAGTTTCACTATTTTGAATGAACACAGTATTAAAGCACTTTGGTTAATAGGGGCAGTCATATACTATATTTAGTGCTCTTTGCAAAATATGCTATTAGACATATGCACTCAGTTGTTATGTGTTGAATTTCTGTATAAATCATTTTAAAGAATGTGACATTTTTATTTTATTCAATTTTCAATAGCAGAATGTCATATACTGACAGTTTGGCTATCAGCAACTTGTGCTTGAACACTTGTTTTTCTTACTTGTCAGAACCCTTCTCTTAGGCTGTCTCTTTTTCCTCATAAGGAAAATAGAAAGTCAAATTCCAAAGTTATTGATATTAACTGATATATGGCAATATTTCACCAGTATATAGTATATGTTTTTGTTATGATGGTGATTGTCAGTTTGACATATCATGGGCATTTCAAGACCAAGTTTTAAAACTTAGAAGAGAATATAAGTGCTGTGATGCAAACTTGTTGAATGATGGAAGAGAGGGTTTTACTAAGAAGTTCATTTTTGGAAGTAAATTATCTACCAAGTTTGCTCATTTATGCGTTCCATAGAAAAATAATTTAAGGACCAAACTTTTCCAGACATAAAAATAAATTTATCTTATTAAGATCTATGGACTTAAAAAATCTTTTTCATTTGCTTTTTGCTTTCACAGCACTTCAGAAATAAATATTTTTACATTTCTGTTGTCAGAGTTTGATGAATGAACAAATAAAAGTGTGGAGTGTTTATATATGGGTGTGTGTAGTCAAATACTGTATGGTTCTTTCATATTAATTATATAAGGCCTGTAAGAGGATGACCATGCATCAATATATATTCCCATTATTTACTCTTAAAAAACAAGCCTCCATTATAAAAAAAAAATAAAGAATTACCAAAAAATAAAGAACTGTAACAATTATCAATTTACCAAAACAATCATTATATATTTTAAATGGCCTTTACTGATGTTACAGTTTAGGCAAGAAAAAAATATGATAATTAGCATGCTGTCAATTACATTTTACTTCTGTTAAATATATGAGTGGTGTAATATAGACAAGCCTTACAACTGACAGGAAGAGGCATTGCTAACCAGCAGATGTTTCTAACCACCTTGGAACTTAAAGCTCATTCGCTCAGTGCCTCTACTGTGAATTAAATTGGAGTAGCACTTTGCTGCCTCTCTAGATTTCCATCAAAAAAATAAGGAAGAAAAGAAGGGAAGAATA